CCCCCCCCCCGCCCCCGGAGAGTGTGGGAACCGACCCTGGGCGGATCCCCCAGAAGCCCCCTCTGTTCCTGGCCTGCTTCTCGACCGGGTTCTGACAAGTTAGCCGGGAGCTGCTCCGTTGTGTTGGATCATTTTTCAGCCTTAGGTCTCCAAACCTTCCAAAAGCAAATTGGGCCTGGGGACGCTCTGAGCTTCCGCTGTCGGCCCTTGTCTCCTCCTATGGGCCCGGAGGAGTCAAGCCTAAATCTGCTCAGATGGATGGCTTTGATGGAAACATCGCCTCTTTCTTCTGCAGGGCCTGGCATTCAGGGCCCTGTTCCCCTTTATCCCAGGTCACCGAGCGATTCCCTGGAAGCTGTGGGGTGTTCCTCTGTGACGGTCACAGCTGCTTAGAGTTAGGGCAGTTGGCATGCCTGTCCCTAGCCTGCCCGGGTCACCCCTAAGCAGCAGGCCACCACGTTGCCCAGCCTGAGGGCCTCTTCAGCAGCAACAGGGAGAAAGGAAAACGATACGTCCTCCCATCGCACATGTAAGGAGAATTGGCTGTCATCCCTGCTGTTGTCCATTATTAAGCCCTGGTTGCTGCTATGGTATGGGGCTGGTTCCCAGGTCACCAATGAACTGTGACCACCCCCTCTTGGTCACAGGGTTTAGCTCCCAACTTGTACCCAGGGGGCCTCACCTTCTGGGGGCAGAGCTGCACCCTGGGGTGCCCCTCCTCCAGGAAGCAAGGACGGGACTGGGAAGTCTCCTCTTCCTCTTAGGCACGTCCTCTTCTCCCCTCGTCAGTGAATGTCTTCTGGCGAGCCTATTTTCATTTTAGAAAATATGAATAAGTAGTTGTGTATGGAAAAAAGACTGCCCTTCAGCTCACTCACTGGGGCTCTCTGGTGGCTCCTTGGGTCACAGCCCTGCTGGGTACGGTGGCACTTTTCTCAACTGTGTTTTTGTTCCCTGCGGCACCTAGAGCTGCCCCATTTGGCGGTGAAACCAGGTGCCGTAGAATGACCACCACTTCTCCGTGCCTCAGTTCCATCATCTCGAAGGCGGAGATAATGATTCTTGCCCCAACCTGCTTAGAGATGGCTGGGAAGATTAGGGTCAGATGACTTACAAGAAAATTCTTACTCTGAAACAGAAAGCACTAGGCAACTCCAGAGAGAGAGTTCATCACTAAGTCTAGCCCCTGAGGAAAGCGGCTGTTCTGCGAAAGCGATATGTGACATTGTAGGCGAGGCGGGGGGGGGGGGGGGGGGCTGTCCACAGCCATGACCTGCCAAGGGTCGAGGTAGGTGAACCAGTGACCATGGCAGGAAATGGGAAGGTTGGCTGGGCTGTTTGAGCTGTCACTGGGGACATTAACGAACACCGTGGCCTGGAGGGTGGGGGCATGGCGGAAGGGCGAGAATCTGAGGCATTTGATTCGTTGTTTCCTGTTGTCAGGCCCCACTCCCCACTCACATAGGGTCTCATCCCAGGCTGTCACTTTCTCGCTCCACACACAGGCTCAAGAATGGGACATGGATGCCCGGCGACCGATGCCTTTTCAGTTCCCGCCCTTCCCAGATAGGGCACCCGTCTTCCCTGACCGCATGATGAGAGAGCCCCAGCTGCCCACAGCAGAGATCTCGCTCTGGACCGTGGTGGCCGCCATTCAGGCCGTGGAGAGGAAGGTGGATGCCCAGGCCAGCCAGCTGCTAAATCTGGAGGGGCGGACGGGCACCGCCGAGAAGAAGCTGGCGGACTGCGAGAAGACGGCCGTGGAGTTCGGGAATCACATGGAGAGCAAGTGGGCCGTGCTGGGGACCCTGCTGCAGGAGTACGGGCTGCTGCAGAGGCGGCTGGAGAACATGGAGAACCTGCTGAGAAACAGGAACTTCTGGGTGCTGAGGCTGCCGCCAGGCAGCAAGGGGGAGGTCCCCAAGGTACGTAGTGGTCCGCGCGGGCAGAGATGGAAGCGAGGACCCGTACATGTGAACAACTCTTGATTTCAAATTGCCAGTCCTGCCCATGAAACTCTCTGGCTCCCCCATGTGGGATTTCAGTTTCTCTTAAAGCCTGCCTCCACTTAAACAACCTAGTCTTGAATTTTCTAGCTCCGTGAGGCTGCCCTCTACCCCTTGCCCGCGGAATCCGTGTGCTGCTTCTCTCTGTTGGCCTTTCCTGTCACCTTTCCCAATACCCCAAGGTACCTGGGTGTCTGCAGACTCCTGCAGCTCTTCACTGCTTGGGGTTTCCCCTTGGCACCTACAGAGGACCATGAGTCATTGGTTATCTTTGGATGAACTTATCCGAGCGTGGCTGAGACACACCCTAAACCATGCTAACTGGAATTGCTAGGAAGTTGTGACCGTCCCCTCTGTGGGCCCCTCTTGCAGCTCAGAATTCATGCTCCATCTCCCCCTTCCATTCGCTTTCCCACTGTCCCTCTGGATCCTCAACATAGCACGGTCGATCGATGACCCTGCCTTCTGGTCCACTGAGAAAATGGGAGTCCCCAAAAGAGATGCACGTGAAGCCACCACGTTCATCCGATGCTGCCTCGGGCCTGCTGCCTTCCCTGTTCCTGCAGCCTTACTGGCCCACCCTTCACCGACCCCGGGGCTCACTCTGGCCTTCTCCCCCTTTCTCCTCTGGGTCGTCCACTCCCCCCTCTACTGGTTGCTCTAGACATCTTCGAACATTGCCTGTCTCTGTCATGAAACCGTCCCTAGACCCTGCCTCTCCCTCCAGCCCGTGCCTCATTTCTCTGCTCCTCATTAGAGCGGAATTCCTTAACCGAGTCATCAGTATTTGCTGTCTCCAGTTCCTTCTCTCCCTCCCCCTTTTCATCCTTTTATTATAGAAAATTCAAATATACACACAAGTAGATAGAATAGTGTGATGAACTGTCCTGTGCCCGTCATCCAGTTTTTTTTTTTTTTTTTTAAATTTTTTTTTAATTTTTTTTTTTGAAGGGGGGGGGGGGGGGGGGAACACAGCGTGAGTGGGGGAGGGGCAGAGAGAGGGGGAGACACAGAATCCAAAACAGGCTCCAGGCCTGAGCTGTCAGCACAGAGCCCAGCGCAGGGCTTGAACTCACGAGCCATGAGATCATGACCTGACCTGCGGTTGGACCCTTAACCAACTGAGCCACCCAGGTGCCCGTCCTTTGTCCAGTTTCAATGGCTGTCAGCCCTTGGCCCGTTTCCTCTAAATCCCTACCCACATCCCCTCCCATTTTATTTTGAAGCCAGTCTCAGATATCAGTCTTTTTTTTTTTTTTTTTTTTTTTTTTTTTTAAATATTTCAGTCTACAGCTCTAAAAAGTAGAGTCTTTTTCTGAAATAATGTCTCAATATTGCTACCACCACAAAAGCCTCAGCCCACTCAGACATCCAGTCAGTGTTCACATTTTCTGGTCTTCCAAACATGTTATAATTTGTTTTCTATTAATTTGTTTGGATCAGAACTTAAGAAGGTGCTATTTTTTTTTTAAGTCTTTTAAAATCTGTCAGTTCCTCCTTCGTCTCTTTCATTTTTCCATGAAAAGTGTCTGTAGAGGGGCACCTGGGTGGCTCAGTTGGTTAAGCATCTGACTTCGGCTCAGGTCATGATCTTGTGGTTCGTGAGTTTGAGCCCCATGATCCCCTGTGCGCTGATAGCACAGAGCCTGCTTTGGATCTTCTGCCTCCCTCTCTCTTTGTACCTCCCCAGCTCTCTCTCTCTCTCTCTCTCTCTCTCTCTCTCAAAATAAATAAACATTAAAAAAAAAAAGTGTAGAAGAAAGTAGGCCGTGTGTCCTCCCAAGTTTTTGACTGTCTGGATTCTGCCTCTGCGTCCTCCGTGGTCTCGTTGAACGTGTTCCTCTATTCTCAGTATCCCAGTACCTTGGTAATTGGATCATTCTCCCTGGAACCTCTGCCCACCAGGCTTTTGCTGTCACCTCTCCATCCTGTTCGTCTTGCCAAAGCCTTCATGATGTCCACAGTCAGTTCTGTCTTCGTCCTCTCTGCCCCGAAGGTGGCAATGCATACAGTAAGCCACCCCCTCCTTGAAACACCTTTTCACATGGCTCCCAAGTCACCTCTCTTGATTCTGCTCCTATCTACTCGTGACTCCTGCTCAGTCTTCCGCACTGGTTCACCTCCACTTCCCGACCTCTTCTGTTTGGAGAGGTCCGGAGCTGGGTGTTGACCTTTGACTCATTATCTACGCTCCCTCCCTCATGATTTCATTTCATCTCAGAGTTCTGAATGCAGCCTGTGTGCTGTCGGCTCCCGAATGCAGTCTCCCCCTCCCACACTCTCTCTCTGTCTCTTGCCCAGACTTCCTTCTTAAATGCTAGATTCACATGTCTACCTGCTAATCCAGTGGTATTCAATTAGTATCTTAGATTTAATAGGACCAAACTGAACTCCTATCTTCTGCCTGAAACCTGTTCTAACCGAATCATCCTCGTCTCCATGGAAGACGACTCTACCCTTCCAGGTGTTCAAGCCAAAAACTTTGGGGTCACGTTTGCTTCCTTTCTTTCTCAACCCTCCTTCCAATAGATTGGTAAATGCTGTCTGCCTGACTCTTCTTCAAAATACTATCCATGGTCTAATCTCTGGTTTCCATCTCCACTGCTCCCACCATCATCTGGTGGGAACCTCCGTCGCCATGGTCTCCTGCCTGGTCTCCATCCTCGTCCCTCACCCTGTACAGTCTGTTCTCAGCAGAGCAGCCAGAGCGATCCTTCAAAAATATAAACCAGTTAGTGGCACCTGGGTGGCTGATTTAAGCCTCTGGCTTTGGCTCAGGTCATGATCTCGAGGTCCGTGAGTTCGAGCCATGAGTAGGGCTCTGTGCTGACAGCTCAGAGCCTGGAGCCCGCTTCAGATTTTGTGTCTCCCTCTTTCTCTCTCTCTCTCTCTCTCTCTCTCTCTGCCCCTCCCTCAATTGTGCATGTTCTCTCTCTGTCTCTCAAAAATAGACATTTAAAAAAATTAAAAAAAAAAATCAGTTACTTCTGCTTAAAACCCCCAAACGGCTTCCCTCTCATGCAACATAAAAGCCCCTGTTCCATCAGGAGCCCTCTCTCCAGCTGCACCTTTCTGACCTCCTCTCCCCTCCGCCCTTCCTGTCCACTCCTTCCCAGCCACGCAGTCTCACCTCAGGGACTTTCGTCCACTAGCAAGCTCCCTCCCTGAGTACCTACCTGGCTTCCATCCTTCCAGGGGTCTGCCCTTCCATGCCCCTCCCCCCAAACAAGAAAACCACGCCCCCCCCATCCCTACATGCTCTTTTCCCTGTCCCTGCTCTGTGCCATTGGTCACCTTAAGTATGTACTTCCTTTTTTTTTTTTTTTTTTTTTTTTTTTGTCCCCTTGGATGGTTTTCTCTGACTGGAATGTCATTTCTGCATGGTTCACTGCTGTGTCTCCTTGCCTATAGCTGTACCTGACTTTAGTCAGTATTCTAAAAGTATTTGCTGAGTGACTCTGTCCAGCTGGAGAGCTCCCACCTCCAAATAAGGGATTGGGTCTCCTCTGTCTCCATATCTGCTGAGGCAACCAAGGCAGTGACTTTGCCAGCAGAGTGGCGTGACGGCAATTTATTGCGGGCTCCTAGAACTGAGTTGTAAGAGTGGTTTGGTTCCTCCCGCGAATACCCCCTCCTGCTGCGGCCACAGACGCTCCTTCTCAGTGTGGTTTGGCACACTGCTTATCTGGCCCAACCGGCATCTCTTCACACACTGCCCTTTCCCCTTCTCCGTGCCGCATGCTTTAACCCGGCTCCGTGGCCTCTGGTGGCACCTTTGTGTGTTCTGTGCATCGGATCGGGCGTTAGGCGTTCCAAGTTGACATATGCCCTCGCAGAACGATGGGATGGGTATGGGGTCTGGGATCAGAGGACTAGGGTGTGAATCTCGGCTTTTGCCACGTACTGTCTTCCTACACCTGCTGAAGTCTGTTTTTGGTTGTCGCGGAGCCTCCTCAGTCCCTCTTTTGAAAGAAGTGAAGGAGAAGTAAATGATTCTGTAGGTAAATGCCCAGCTGGTCCTTCTGAGTTTCAGTATTCTCATGGGAAATGAAAATGATGATACGTGTGTCGCATGAATTGTGAGGATTCATTGATTTTGTTGATGGGACAACACTGTGTAGCTCCCTGTGTGTTAGTTATCTGTGGCTGTGTAACAGATTACTCCAAAACTTAGCGTATTTACCATCTTGTGCTTTCTGTGGGTTAGGAATTTAGGGAGTTTGGGCTGAGTGGGTCTGGCTCAGAGTCTCATGAAGTTATAATCCAGTTTATGGTCACCTGAAGGCTCGGCCGAGGCTGGAGACCCTGTCTCCAGTATGGCCCACTCACTTGGCTGATGGCAGGAGGCCTCAGTTCCCCACCATGTGGACCTCCCAACACGCCTGTTGTGTCCTCACGACATGGCAGCTGTCCCCCAAGACTAAGTGACCCCAGAGAGAGACCGGCGCGGAGCCGTAATGTCTTTTATGACCTGGTCTCAGAAATCGTACACATCGCTGCTTAATTTGTTAGAAGTGGGTCACTGAATCTTCTGCCCACACTCAGGGGGAGGAGAATTGGGCTGTACTTTTGGAAGGGACTGTCAAAGAATTCGTGGGCCTATTGTAAAACCCACGCCCGTAAAGCACCATGAGAAAGTTAATTAACGTTGCTAGTAATAGTTAGAATTCATCGTGTACTCTTGGCCATGCTAAATGCATCTGCTTTGTCAGATCCAAGGAAGGCTGTTGTCTCTCAGATCCTCTGTGCCTTTTGGGTTCTATTGTGTCTGTTAATTGGCCGACAGATAATTCACAGATAGTCTTTTCTGTCTAGCCAGACTGTAGGCTCCCTGTAGTCTCCGGCCATGTCTCAGACTGTATCCTGGCCCAGGGAAGTTTTTATGAAGGGATATCTATTTCCGACCCCGAGAATATGATTCCAGAATTGTGACTCTTCATAGAAATGATGAAGTGAGGCCGAGGAGTCGGCCTGTTGGAAAAGAGAATGAACTTGGTTTTGGATACGTGTAGTTTGAGGTACCTAAAAGGCGACTGAATGGAGCCACTCAGAGGGCTGTGGAAATCTGAACTCTGAAGGCAACAAGGAAAGCCGAAGAGTGTCATGTGCAAAGAGGTAACCACTGAGGTGGTGCAGGGGATGAATTTGCCGAAGAAAAAGCGAAGGAACAGGGAAGGGGAAGGGCAGAGCCTTGGGGTTGGGGGAGGAAGAGGAAGCAGTAAGCTGTGGTGGGCGGGAGGAAGCAGAGTTGTGGAAACCAACAAGGAGAACATTCCAGAAAGGCGATCTGCCCTTTCAAAGAGGTCTGAAAGGGTGAGGGTTAACAAGAGGCCACTGATGACCATCCAGGGTGTGGTTTCGGAGTGTGAGGGGTTCATAGCCGGATTGTAAAGGGTTAAAGGAGGCATGGGTTGTGGAGAAGAAAGTGCCGAGTGTATTTCAAGCGAAGAGGGAGGGTAGGGTCTCTTGACGCGGCAGAGTTGGGTTCATCTTAGGTTGGGTGACCCACACGGGAGAGCCTGGGATGTCAGAGAGAAAAGATTGTTTGGGTTGAGTTTCCCGGGCAGGAGATGGAGGAGAAATGAGGGGCACGTTAGCAGGAGGGTTGACTTGGTGAGACCAGCAGCTGCCTGTGATCAGAATCTGGGACCGACGGGAGGAGGGAAGAGTTTGAAAGATGCCTCTCAGGGAGCGCAGCAGATGCCAACAAGATCAACTAGAGGCTTCCAAAGCAGCCTTGGGACAAGTGGCACGAATGTATGGTGGGTGTCACCTGCAGAATTTTGTGACTTTTGTCTAGCAGCAGGAAATTCAAATGCGGAAAGTGGTCTGTGCCGGTTTTCCCAGGTTGGGGATTTGCCGAAGTCTGGTGGAAGATCCAGGAAATTAGGAATTCTGTTCTGTCTCTAAAGATGGGTGATGCGTGAGCTATCACTCAGCGGGTGGCATATAGGTGTGCAGGATGCCCATGAGGTTGTGAGCACCTGATGTGAGAGCAGACAGTTCTGTCCTTTTTTTTTTTTTAACGTTTATTTATTTTTGAGACAGAGAGAGACAGAACATGAACGGGGGAGGGTCAGAGAGAGGGAGACACAGAATCTGAAACAGGCTCCAGGCTCTGAGCTGTCAGCACAGAGCTTGACGCTGGGCTCGAACTCACGGACCATGAGATCATGACCTGAGCCGAAGCCGGCCGCTCAACCGACTGAGCCACCCAGGCACCCCTCTGTCGTTTTTGTTGTTTTTTTTTTAACGTTTATTTATTTATTTTGAGAGAGAGAGAGGGGGCATCATGTGTGAGAGTGGGAGAGGGGCAGAGAGAAATAGGGAAAGAGGAATCCCAAGCAGGCTCTGCACTGTCAGCATGGAGCCCGACAAGGGGCGTGAACCCACGAACCGTGAGATTATGAGCAGAGCAGAAAACAGATACTTCACCAACTGAGGCACCCAGGTACCCCCAAGACATTTTTAATTTATATAAAGCTTCTGCCCACTCACTGAGCTGGGCACCAGCGGGTCTGGTGTTTTTGCTTTTGTTTTTGTTTTTTTGAGAGAGAGAGAGAGTGCATGAGTGGGGAAGGGGCACAGAGAGAGGGAGACACAGAATCTGAAGCAGGCTCCAGGATCTGAGCTGTCAGCACAGAACCCGACATGAGGCTTGAACTCGTGAACTGCAAGATCATGACCGAAGCCAAAGTTGGACGCTTAACTGACTGAGCCACCTAGGTCCTCTCTTTTTTTCTTTTTTTTTTAATGAAAGTTTTTTTTTTTTTTTTAAGTTTATTTATTTGAGAGAGAGAGAGAGAGAGACAGCACCAATGGGGGAGAGGCAGAGAGAGAGAATCCTAAGCAGGCTCTTTACTGTCGCTGCAGAGCATTATGTGGGGACTTCATCCCACGAACTGTGAAATTGTGACCTGAGCCAAAACTAAGAGTCAGATGCTTAACTGACTGAGCCACCCAGGGGACCCTAGACATTTCTTCTTCTTCTTCTTCTTCTTCTTCTTCTTCTTCTTCTTCTTCTTCTTCTTCTTCTTCTTCTTCTT